AGCTGGAGATTCTCCAAATATACACAAGGTTAACAAATTGGTTTTTTATCAGAATAATAATAATAAATAACAATCTATTGGCATATCTCATTTTAAGACTCTGCTTCATCTATGGATAGATCTCTTCAGAGCATGGATATAACCATATGAAAGAAGTGGAAGAAATATACTTTCAAAATCAGTTCTGTTGGAAAGTTGTTAGAACATCTAGCCAATTTTTATCCATTTTGTCTGTCGTTTCAACAGACACCGTTGTGTTTTCTTGAACATAGATGGCTTTTCGTATGCCTTTTAAAACTGCTACGATACGAAGATTTAACATGGAAGTCACCTCTTGGTGAAATCACAATAGTATTTTAATAAGAATATGTAAGGTTTTAAGATCCGAATCATTTCAGTCGTTCCGAGTTGGAAAGAATATTGTCCAGATTTTCCTAATCTGTTTTTCTTTGCAGTTTTTCAAGACATGCGAATAGCTATCTATGTACAAGAAATAGTTCCATTGTCTGTCTGAATCATAGAGAGCACAGATATAAATCACCAAGGTTTTCTTATAACTATCAAATGATCAGAATCGATTTCAATAACATATTAATTGCTATCCTTTTCATTAAATGCACGAATAGCTGCAAACAGTCTGCATTAACAAGAAAAAGTAACTAGCTTCTTCACTATTTTCATAAAACTGGCAAAAATTACCAATATTTACTTTCATTTTCTTCTTTTCATACATTTAGACACAGTATAAAACTCACATAAACTATACTTAATTACTGGTATCATTTCGGGATAGAAAAGTCTTTGGAACACCGATAGACTAAAAGGGCTTACGAGAGAGACTACAATATCAAAAGACTTACGTCTGCTTCTTGTAATAGAGCGATATTGACGAATATTGTAATAACGAATATAATACCTTGGTAATGTATCGATGTTGTTTAATAAAGAAAATGAAAGTAATATTTTGCTTATATGTGTATCGAAATATTGTTTGGCTGGCGTGCATTCAACCGTATACGTTGGATAAAGCATGATCATATATTAATGAAACAGACTGGGTTTTTTTCCCACAAAAATGTTATTATTCTTTTGCTTGTTCTATCACTTGTCGATGAGACAGCTTGAATAATAAAGAGGGAAAGTTAATCGATGGTTGGAAAAATGTGCATAATATCACGATTTTATTTTTATTTTTCTTTCTATCATTGCACAGGATACGTAAAATATACAGGCTTCACAACTAATAATACGCTGATTTATATCATCGATCCTGTTAAAAACGAGCTCAATGGTCCTTCTGCCTATGACAGAAGATATTGGTTTCTACTACCACTTTTGGAAGCATTTCTTGTCCAAACACATATTCCTCCTCAAAAATCGACATTTGGATGAGGTCCAGTCCTCAGGATCCTTTCTGACCCTCAAAGAAACTTGAGAGTCACTTTCGACATCTGCCTCGGCCACTATCATCGTGAGTATCCTTGCTTTGATTCAGATTCATTTTCTAGTCGTTATTTTTATTTAGGTTGTAATTCAAACAAGGGGGAAACAGCTGACTCCATGACTCCACTTGACTCCACCTGACTCCACTTGATTCTACTCTTTTATCAAGTCTTTAGCATTAGAAAAATGTGGTGCTTTCCATTTCCCCAATTGACTATTGAAAATAAAGAAAAAAATATGATGTCAGTAATAAAAGCGCCTGAATTTTTGCAGAGGCTACAAGAATTATTCAATAACTGTTTGTTCAAAAAAGTTTTTTTTTACTATTAATATCTTATGTATTTGTTTAAAAATCAACTGTAAAATGTAAAAAAAAATAAAAAAACGACGGGCATAAAAATATGAAAAATCCAATACTTAAGAAAAAAGATTAGCTATACAAGAAAACAATAAGTGAATTAATAAGTTAAAAAAGATCAATTTCATATGAAGTCTAACTATACAAGAGAACATTAAAGAAGTAATCGAAGAAGTACAAACAAGAAAATGTTCAGTATGTAAAAATTATCTTCTTCTCATTCTTTTTGCTGGTTCTCTTGTGTTATATGAAGATTCTATAGTTTGAACTTTTCTTTTCACTTGTTTTTTAGTTTTTAATGATGATGATTGTTGTATAATGTTTTCATCTTTATCTGTTGATATTGAAGTCGAAGATGCTGTGGATAAATATGAATTTGGTTGAGTTGTATTTGATGGTGGTATAATAGATATAAAAGTTGGTGATACGACTTGCTGAGGTACATTATCTGACGTTGGTAATGATAGTTGAGTATTTGTTGATGATGGTAATTGTAATTGAGGATTATTTATCATTTTTTCCAATTCAGGACATACATTACTTAAATCTTGAAGATGACGATAGAAATTTGACAATTGAAATTTTCCACGCCTTAATGTTAATGATGACCATTTTTCGTAACAGCACTTTATATCACATTTTAACGCACCACTTGGATCATTAAAAAACGAAATAAAATAATGTTGACCTTCAATTAAAGATAATTGTGATAAATAAAATTTTGATTCATTGTTTTTGCACCAGCTATTCAATGTATCAATAATATATGTTTTATGTTGACCAACTGATAAATTAGAAAATTTGGTTGATATTTTTTCTGGTGAACTGTTGAATGGAACAGATGATGTTGATTTTGCTATTGTTGACGATGATGATTGACAATATTTTGAAGATTTAGCTTCTTTGGCATCTTCAATACATTTCTTTTTTAACAAATCAATAAGATATTTGGTATTTCCTTTTATTCCAGGTTGTATAACAAATGTACCATCGTCTT